TCAACGGCGCCTATCTCCATCACCCGTGGAAGAGCCTATTCGGGCTGGTGAATAAATGTATGTCGCCAAAGCATGCCGGGTTTGACAAGTGCAATAAGCAGATCCTACTAATCTTTCACGGCATTGCATACAACAAAAATTACGACGTGGCACAGCTCTTCTTCTCAGAGCTCATGGACCTGGTCAAAGCAAAGGAGAAAAACAGGTCAGGTACCATCCCATACGCAAGGTGGCTAGGGCTGATCATTCATGATTGCATGGCAGAGCACACCTCCATCCCAAGACGCAGTACTGATCCACACTACACCGCTCCAAAGCTGCAGTACTTCAAAGCCGACAAAAATCCTGTCATCGGTCTGCGGATTCCTGGGTTTCTACTCCAACTTGTCAATCCATCCAATCCAGCAGTCAAACAGTACCAAGAGAACATTGAGAGAACTGTCCCTATGGTTCAGCAAAACCCAGCTGGACCTACCCCGGGGACAAAGCCGAGTGCAGGTAAGGGTCCTAAGAAAGTCCAGAAGCCACAGAAATCAGTGGCCGGTTTGCCCCATGAAGAAAAGTCTGACGACTCTCTAGAGACGAGTCAGACGGCTGAGGGCACCAAAACAGACACTGAGGAATCTGCCGATGAGTCGTCGAGTGATGCCCAAACTAACACTGACGATGAGGCATCCGAGAGCGTGGGTACGGAGGACGAGGAGTCTGGCTCTGATGGTGATGATAATGACAGCGATGACGTTGAGCACACCTATGCTCTAATCTGAAAAGGAAAGCTGCCTGTCGAATCTCCAAAGAAGATCACTGCTGAAGACGCGACACCAATAATCGCAGGTAGACCCAAAGTCTTCACCATCAAAGAGCTGAAAAAATCAAAAAGCGATCACAGAGAAACAATCAGCTCTAAGGATGACTATGATGAAGCAGCCCATACCATCAAGAATTCCAAAGATGTCGTTATCCGGGAGAAAAGGGCTAAGATTAAAAATGACAAAGCTGCTAAGTCAAAGCCCCAGCCTCGCGTCAGAAAGAGCCTCATAGATAAGGCTGATGAGCACATATTCGCCGGCTGTGATCCATTTATCCATATAAGCCGAGCCGAATCCCTAAGTACAGGAACCGATCTTTTCGGTTCCCGGGTAGAAGTCGCAGCATCTGGCTCAATTACGCAAGCACAACCCTCACCTAGCCACTCGATAGCCTCTCAACAGGCTATCGTTTCGAAAGCAAGGGACTCACCCCCCTTACTGGTTCCTTCCGAATCAGTTGAGCGTACTATTGACCTATCGCCCGAGGTCAAAACCCCTCCTTCAAACACATCGAGTCTAGGTGTCACATTTCCTACATTTTCTTCATTTTCTAGGACACCTACACTTTTCACAGCACATACAGGTGCACACACCCTGAACGCAACAACCAGAGCGCAAGCTATGACGGTTGGAAGTCCTGCTATGCCCTCAATGATCCCATCATTGCACGCAGACCACACATCAGCTATCTTCACTGATGTTGTGACAACAGTTACAACCCTCGTAACTTGACACCCAACCTTTGAAGACGTCAACGTTCTGCTAAACCGCTTCCTAGATTCCACCATTAAACCATGAGTGCAAGAAGCAATGACCGCTCTAGCACAGGAATTTAGGACCACCCAAGCGGTTCAGTCTGAACAACCCCCACCCCAACCTTCACCCGAACCCTTCATCTCCCATACACAACCAGTATCTTCCACCCCTCTATCTCACCAATCAATCAACCAAATACCCATTCCTTCACATTCTCAGGGAACCCAGGATACAGAACTAGTATTCTCCCCACGCCCGACCACACCCTCCATCGATCTCTCCTCACTACCTTTCGAAACCCTGGCATCGGCTTTGCTGGACCATCTTCTAAACATCCCAGAAGCCAATCTTACCCTCCACCAGCAAGCCATTCTCGAAGCCCTCCTTTCTTCCCCTGAAACCAAAAGCAAATGCAAGGACAGTCCTCGTGGTCGCAAACGTTCCCGTGAGGACCCCGGTGATTCGGATCCTCATGAGGGGGAGAACAAGCGGCCACGACCACTTGAGCAAACTGCTTTAGCTAACCAAACTCCACAACCCATTCAACCAGAAACCTCTACCAACCAACAACCACCACCCACAACCAAATTCTCTAGCCTGGTCGAGCTAGATGAAACATCCGGAGGCGTATCTCCAAGAGATACCAACCGAGGAGGGGATGGAAGTCTTGATGATGCTACCACTGGTACATCTTTTACATCAAGCCATCAGTTAGAACCTAGTTCAAAGCTGATGACAACGGGAAATCCTAGTGAACCCGGTGTTTCGATCAACATGCCTCCATCTCCAAAAGATCAACCTGCCACTACCATTCTGTCATCAGATGAAATGCATGATCAACTAGAAGATATCATTATTCACGACAAATGGCCCAGACAGTGGACGGAGATGGATCAAATCATGCAGGATGAAGAATGTGAAGATATGCAGAGGAACTGGTTCCTACGAGAACTCATCAACAAATGTGCAGAAGATATAATCAGGCTCGAGGACGATGAACGAAAGGAAGGGGAGAACTACAAGGAATCTTAGAAAACACTTGAATCCGTCATCAGACAATCAGCGGGAAGACTTCCCAAGACTGAGAAACCTTGGGACAACGTACGAATCAAAGCCCCCTTCCAAGAGGAAATCAGAGAGCGTATTTGGCGTAGACCAGACAAAGTCAAACCTCTGAATGAACTAAAACTGCGAGGTCTTACCCATCTCAAAGGAAAGCAGGCTGGAGGTCATCTTCATATGCTGTTGCAAAGGTCAACCGGTACTCAAAGAGAGCTGATGGAACAAGATTTGAAATCCAACATTCTCCCTATTCATCAAATCCTACAGGTTAAGGCCGAGAATTATCACGGAGTGAAATTCTATTCTTACAAGCTTCAACGCACTGATGGGAGTGAATTTACCTGCCAAGAAAATGATTTCATCATGCTTAAACCAGACGACATCTATCAAATGTTTATGGCATATCGATCCCTTCCAGTCAGACAAAGTAAAACATACAGCGAAGGCCTTGCAGCAATCAAAAGATTCATGCTCAGACAAATCAGAGTGCACTCATCTCACGACCTACAGATGGCTATTGAGTGCAACTTGACAAAAACAAATCTTACAAAACCAAGACTGTATGGTCCAGAACTCGATGACTTCTCAGCTTACCACATCTTCTTCACACCGCCAGCAGTCACGTATCTCAACCACAAGAATGAAAAACGCCTGATGGTGGTTAATGAAATTGAGAAATATTGTGATGGAACACTAAAGATAATCAAAGAACAGATGCTAAAGATGAAGGAACAACTAGAGCAAAATCTTCAGGAGGCATCGTCATATATTCAAAAGGAACACTCTACAGTGGAGACCATTCTAAAAGCCATCGACGATCGCCCAGACAATAGAAACATGCTAAGGCAATACGAGCATGCACTGAATATGAGGAAGCACTACTTCAAATCACAGAAGCAATAACTAAGTGGCACTTGATCACAAAGGGGGAGATTGTTGAAGATAATTTAATTGTGAATCAAGTTTGTCATCTATCATTTAATAGATTAGCTTTATTTTTATTCCTTGTATTAAATATGTGCATTTATTAGATAGAATATGGGCCAAGTGTTAGGCCCATACTACAGGCTAAAAGCCTTTCACGCCTACCTGAACCTCGCCTATAAAAAGGGAGCCGAGGATTCAGGATTAGGTTAGCTTTCGTACTTATTCATAATAGCCTTAAGCGCAAATCTTTCTGTGTACGAGTTCACGGTATATCAAAGAGGGTTTTACATCGATTCATCTATGTTCATCTCTTCGTTTAATCTTCTTTGTTATACTGCTATTCATTGCTGTTACAGAAACAGGGACTGTCAATACTAACTCCCAAAGTCTATAAATACTTCTTGTAAATACCCTGTGGAAGGGATGAGTAAATCGTGCTTCCAAATAATAATAATAATACTGCCTTACGTTGCCATATTTTGATATCTCTAGTAGATTTAGCTCTCATAGTTGGATTAAACTCCATCAAGCCGCATTGCAACTCCCAACTCTCCAAACTAGGCATGACAATGGGTTGGAGCAGGGCAGGTACTGCAAGACCTAGACCCGCTCTGCCCCGTGACCCGCACGGGTCCAAACTTGTTGACCCATGCCCCGCCCTATGCGGGGCGGGTCCGCCCCACCCCACCCCATCGTAACCTAATTAGCTAGTATGCCTTTCTATTTGTGTGAAGTTGTTACCACTTGAATCTACATAAAAGTTGTTTCTAAATAATTATTAAAAAATAGTATATTAAATCACAGTCAGAATACGTTAAAAATTTCAAAATTTAAGAAAGTGCTATATAAAAATGCTATATTCTTTTATATATAAAATAATATATTCTTTTATATTAATAATAGAATATATAAATTAAAATGCTATATATAAAAAAGGCATTGATAATTCGTCATTCATCTAATTCAAATATACATATTAAGATATTATAAGATCAAAGAATTTATGATTTATTATATACACACATTACACATATATGTATGTAGAAGTATATTTGTAGTATTATTTATAAAAAATGTAACTATACTTATGTAAAGAGCAGTTCAGGGCGAGGTAGGATGGGTCAAAACTAATACCCGGACTCGTCACATTGTATGGGCGGAGCAGACCGGCTCCATTTTCAAGACAGGGCGGGTCGAACCGCCCCAAATGTCTTGGATCAGGGCGGGTCATTGCGGGCCGGTTTTTTTGACATGCCTACTCCAAACCCATCTCTGGGATAGTCCGTTGATGGTTAAGCTCAAGACCATGATTGTAGATTTGTAGAGCGTTGCTGAATCCCAGGGCCGGCCCATCCCATCCCAGCCCATCCCATCCCAGCCCATCCCAGCCCAGCCCAATGGCACAGGCCCCTAATTATTGAAGGCCTGACTTTTTTAATACTGCGTACGACGTAGTGGTTTAGAGTTTAAGCCGATGCCCATGAAAATAGAGAAGAGGAAGAGTAAAAATACAGAAGGCTGCACTTTACACACAAATTTCCAATCGGCAAACAATAGGCAAACCAGCGAAGGACGGTTCGGAATTTCGGACCTTCGGAAAACGCCTCGACCGCCGCCAGGCCGCCACCGCGCAACCGCTCCGCCCTCGCAGCCACGCAGGGCTCACTGAGTCGCTGAAGTGCTGATTGCTGAACCAGCATATACCAGCCAACCAGGTAATGTTTTCCGAGTTTTAACTTTTATTACAAATTACTAAGTATGCTGTTATTTATTTAATTAAGATATTAAGTAGTTAAAAGTAATTATGTTTCACAAATTCCAAGTAGTTAATCCTATTTTTAAGTAACAAATAGGTTGTTAATTTAATAATTTATCAATTGTTTACAGTTTTACACTATAGTTAGTTTAATAGTTTATATTTTATAAGTATTTTTGGTTTTAAAATTTATAGTCCTTAACTCAAAATTTAAATTAACTTGTAACTTAAAATTTGTAAACATATACAGGATTAGTGGAGGATTTCAATAATTGATAGTAATTATATTCCCAAAGAATTTGAAACACTCAAATAAATTATTGAAAATGAAAGTTTGGTAGATGACTTTGCATCTAAATTTGCTCGAAATGAAATGTAATGAATGTTATTTTACTATTATGTTCATTATTTCATTAGTAATTTCTATTTTAATATAAATTATTAGTAATATATCATTATTATCATCTCTATTTATGTTCATATGTTCAATTGCTACACGTGTTGGAAAGGAAGGCCCATTTTTTTTGTTTGCACAGGGTCACCATTTTCTAAGGACTGGCCTTGCTGAATCTGATGGCTGTTAACTTGAGTATCGAGCTCTTTAACCGGTACAGATATTCCTTAAGAAATATAGTCGAGTTCAATAAAGAGAGTACCTTATCAACAAATGGCAGGAATAATGCTTTCAGTTGCTTCTATTACAACACTAAATTTTAATAGTTTTTATATTGTTCTGATTTTTTTTCTTCTTTATTGTTTAATTATCTTAATAGATTGGTGAGACTCGCAGCAAGAGCCTTCTATGATGATATTACAACGAAAGGTGATAATTTGCCCAAGTCAGGTAGAAGCGATAACAGAGGGATTGCAGTTGTGATTCTAGATGCCCTCACAAGGTTCTAAGTTTACCGTGGACACAGTTTTATGTAATATACCATATTACTGTGTGCATTTTTTCCGTGTAGATGTAGGCATGTGTTTCTTCTTAGGTTTTTAGATGTTGTAGATAGAAAAGCATAAGAGATACAGTTCCTCTGTAAGTTTGTTTTTAGGTCTTACTTATTTAGATATTCTGGGACTTGACTGTAGCGACTACAGACTACTTCAACTCATTGTCACTTTTTCATGATATTTGCCATGCAAACCAAAAATACCAAATATGATGTTTCTAGAATCTCATCCCAAATATAAATATGGGAGTCAATTTTTTTCCATTGACCTTAGGATATGGAAGGCTCTATTTGCCCGTTGAGCTCTTTTACACTAATACAACTATTTGTGTATTTGGTATAATTTTTAGGCGGCAGTGGGTGAGAGAAGAAGACCTGGCAAAGGACTTGAAGTTGCATACAAAGCAACTTCGAAGAACACTACGTTTTTTCGAAGAAGAAAAGCTGATCACAAGGGATCACAGGAAAGAGGTTGTTGTTCTGCTCTATTCTGATGGTTGGAAATACATCGTACCATGACTATTTTTCCTAGTGTAGATATACAAGACTCGTTACTTTCTACGTTTTTAAAAATTGACTGCAGTTGTTTATAGCAGTATTTGCATGTTTGTTTGGTTTTGTTTGGTCTGGTTTGCTCTAGTGCAATTTATAGTTTTAAAATGATTTTTGAATGTTTCCTTAATGGAATGAGATGAATTTGGTGGGTGGTCTGCTCAAGTGATTTTAATAACTTCTTTGTATCAGTAGTAGAAAATTGCATTTTTTAAATATACAGACTTCTGTTAATGCTTAGTGCTTTTGAAGCTCATCCAAGGAGCTAATAATTTTCTTAAGGACAAGTTTATGGGTTTCCAATGATGCTTATGTGTGGATTCTATTTGATTGGGAACAAATGTGGATCAAGTGGCATAAACCTATGCCTTTTGAAAATGAAATGGTTTAATATATTAAAACATGCTATATGTATTTATTTATTTATTTATTTATTTATTTATTATTTATTTATTTATTTATTTATTTATTTATTTATTTGTTCTTTTCTTTGTTTTGTTTGTTTATTACTGTGCTCATTAACAGTCAGCAAAAGGTGCCAAAGTATATAATGCTGCTGTTGCTGCTACCGTTGATGGTCAGCATTATGGTAAAGAAGATGAAAAAGTCAAGATGCACACACATTCCTATTGCTGTCTAGACTATGCACAGGTCCCTACTACTAATTACTCTTCACCGATGTCATTGCCTTCATTCAGCATTAAATCTAACTTCAGAAGTTAATCAACCTGTTTTTACGCTGTGGCAAGATAGATAGGTTCTAAGTCTTGCATTTTTTTTGAAGTTATTGAATGTAGTTTTTGTGATTCTGCATCCATGCCTGTGCTGTTCTTAATAATTTTATAACATACATGCTGCTGCAGGAGGGATATTACTGTTCTTTGCCTACTGCCAATATGCCATTTAAAATCCATCTTTTCTATATCTCGAATTCTGATTTCTGAATATGTTTTTTTAATTAAAAAATCCGCACTAGTCAGAGTGAATTCTTAAATGGAAATTCACTTCTTTCAGATACACGATGTCGTGAGATACAGATTACACCGCATGAAAAAAAAGCTTAGAGATGAACTTGATAGCAAGAATACAGTTCAGGAGTATATATGTCCAAACTGTGGAAAAAGGTTTCCCATTACATTGAACTGCAATTTAATACGTATTAGTCTTTTTTATTGAAATTTGAAATTTGTTTATCCTTTATATGCAGATATACTGCTTTGGATGCTATACGATTGATTTCTCCACATGATGATTATTTTCACTGTGAAAGTTGTAATGGGGAGTTGGTAGCAGAGAGTGACAAGTTATCATCTCAAGGGATGGCAGATGGAGATGACAATGCACGGAGACGTCGTCGCGAAATATTAGAAAACACGCTTCGCAAGATGGAGGTTAGTTCTATTGCCACATCTTGTGTGTGTCTGTTGGGCATTGAAGGAGGGGGTTGTACTTCCTTTGCTGTACTGTTTCATTTGAAGAGTATGGAATTTCATTGACGTAAGAAAGAATTATAATGAATATAGAGCTTTTACATGGGCCATCCTAAGGACCTAGATTAATCTAAGCCTAGCCCAAGTCCTTAAAGGTCTGGGCAGTCTTATTTTCACCTTTCTCTTTGGATATATAGTACATTTTGTTATATAACTCAATAAATATCATGCTTAACTGAACAAAGCCAAATAGAATACGTTTGGAATCAGCCCAAGAGAAAAATTTGAAGGTGTTGTGCAATTTGTAGGAATACTAATATGGGGATAATATCTGCTGAATTTAAAATAAGCTAGCACTTGGGTAGAGCTTCAATACAATCTTGGAGACAAAGATGTATTGACCCTTTTAGGGGTGATAAAAAGTCACTCATTAGTAGTTACTAGTTTGTATCCTTGAAATTCTAGAGAACAGAAATATGTATGGTAAATCCTTAATGATAGATAAAAAAAGCGTAGCCCGGTGCACGAAGGCATCCCCACAAGGTGAGGGTTCGGAGAAGGAAGGGTTCCACCACAAGGGTGTATAAGTGGCAAGCCTTCCCCTTTCAGATATTTGACAAGAGGCCGCTCCCAAGACTTGAACCCGTGACCTCTCGGTCACACAACAACATCACTCTCAAATCATTCAACATAGATATTGATTAGAATAGCTTTGGATAGTATGGAGTGAAAGCCTTCATGGTCGGCCAATCTCTTTACGGGTTAATTGGTCAAACATGCTTTTGTGTGTGTGTGATGAGTAGTGAATTAGTTTTGTCTGACAAAAAACGTGTGCTTGCTCTTGATAGTAGTAGCAAAATAAAAATTTATGTCACAATTTAAATCTATGGTGGAAGCTGGCAAGATTTTTTATAGGTCAAACATGTTTAAATACTTTCTGAGTCAAGAGAGGTGAACTAAAGTTGGACTCAAAACCTATGCTAGCTCACAATATGACGAGAGATTTTTTTGCCATCACAATTAAAATTTATGGTCTGAGTCAAGCTTCCACATAATAGTAACATGTTACTTACAAGGACAATAGCCTCTGCTCAAGCACCTTGCATCGTTAACTAAATTTGAACAAAATGCCCAACATCATGGATGGAGTTAGTACAAGAATTCATATAAACTATTCTATGCAGTGATGAGGTTATGTTTTCTCACTTTAGTTACTTAAGTGACTAGAATAGTTTAAAATTTGGGGTTCTGAAAATCCAATGTAGATACTAAATGTTCCCTGCCAAGATACACCATAATGAATTGCGTGTAATATAATTTCATCAGTGATAGCACTAGTGAACAAGGATAAAATTGACAAAGGGTGTAGCAAGTAACATTTGGTTTTATGCATCAATGGTTGAGAATGAAGGTATTCTGAACAGGTTAGGAACCAAGATTTGTATGAGATTTATTTATGCAAATATACAAACTAGGAATATAATATGTCAATGGCGATGGAGTATTAACTTTGGCAGATAGATGGAGTATTAAAATGTGAAGTAATGAGGATATGTATCTATGAATTGAGAAGATTAGACCTTGTAGTGATTTCACATAAAGTTTCTTCTTTCATGATTAAACTTCAACAAGGTTTTCACTGACCCCCTTCATATTCACAATTAGCGAAGATTATCCATGGTTAGGTATCTTGTTGTATGGATTTGTAAATGACATTGTGTTAGTTGATTAGTCTAGAAGATGGGCAAACCTTGTGCTGGAAACCTGGAGACAAAGTGTGATAAGTGGGAAATAGTTGATGATAAACAATTGTTTCAAGCATATAGGATTTATTGAACAAAAAAATGGTTCTATGAGATGAATGTGATATACGGTGAATGCATGTTGGTTAAAATATAGGATCGACAATAGCATTGCTTGATCTTAAGTGTCACTAAGATTTAAGGGACAATTATACCATCTCTGCCAGATTGGCTCAATTGTATGGATCAGAATGTTGGTTCATTGAGAAGGAACTGATAAAGGTGGGTGTAGCAGAGATGCATGTGCTAGATGGATGTGTCATATGCGGTAAAAGAGTAAATATATACTCCCTCCGGTTCTGAAAGATCTTTACACTTTGACTTCACAAATATTAAGGAGTTTGACACTGTTTGGCACTGTTTGGCACTGTTTGGCACTATTTGGTGTAGATTTGTAAGGCAAATAAGAAGTGTAAAGATATTTGTGGTACTGCCAAAAATGGAAAGTGTAAAGATCTTTCAGAACCGGAGGGAGTAGCTCGCAACCGGAAGATTCACAGGAAAATATGAATGATGGACACTAAAGATATGGTAATGGAAACTAAAGCAGCAGTTATGAGAATGGAGTTGGTACCTTAGTAGTATTGGTTTGTATAATTTTTTCTAGCAAAAGCAAAAAGCAGCAGAACTTAATTAGTGGATGATGAGATCATGAGGCTAAGGGAGAATTTCAGAGTGATTTGCAACTAGCTTATCTGGCAGAGTGATTGAAACTGCCTATAGTCAACTACAACTGCATATTACAGAGATTAAATGAGTATATGGTGGAAGATGAAAACATATCTAGGCAATCCAATTTCATTTTTTGTCATTTATAGAGTAATATACATAGTAATTTTTTATGGGAGAAAACAGAATTAATTGCCATTAATAAAGTCAAAGTTCACAACATTAACAATACAGGTAGGTAGATTAGAGTTAAAAACATAGCGATATTCATGTTTTGATAATGCTTTTCACAGCGTTGCCTAGGCGTCCTGGCGCTAGGGAGTGCTCGCCGGCTTCACTCGCCTCGCCAGAAGAAGAAAAGTCGCGACGGTCGTCCTCTTGGCGTTGCCCAGGCGCAATTTTGCAACAAGTCGTCGCTGTTTTTTTCCAGTCGAACAATAGTCCGCAGGCCCAGAAAAATAGATTTAAGCTTTAGGCTTTTAATTTAAGAAAAAGCCCAAGGGCATCTGATAATCTTACAGACTATTTGTTTATTTGTTGCCATCGTCGTCTAACTCAAGTCGTAGAGATAAGCCAGACAAGTCGGAGTAATCCAACAAACTGCACCAACTCCAAGGAAGCAGAAGAACTCTGCTGGTCTCTCCCTCCCTCAGTCCCTTGCGGAAGCAGATTAGCGCTTAGGAGACGACCATTACGTTCTATAGTTTTCACGTGTAGTGGAGTAATATTTTAATTAATTAAGTTTTATATTTATATATATACTTATATACAGAGTGTTATGAAAACATGGTATACGCAATTACGCATATCCTGTGATGCATACTGAGTTGCCGAATTGCTTTTCAGTACATTCAAGGTAGTCAAAGTCGTGAGGCGCACTCAAGGCGATGGGGTAATTCCGGCGCCTGAGGCGCAAGGCGCAAAAAAGCGTTCGGCTGACTCATGTCAGGCGCATTACTTAAAAAATATCGCACATACTATTCTCCAATGATCAAGCATGATGTATATAACACCATATTGAACCAACTTCATTAAAAAGTCATGTTTTGATGAAATAAAGTCACGTTTCACCAAAATAAAGTCATGATTAACCAAAATAATGTCACAATTAACCAAAATAAATTATATGTACCGCAACCTATGCCACAAAAAATGGACCGGTAGTAGTATGTATACATGATAAAAAAATGGTAGTTTGGTAGTATGGATTCATGGTCAAAAAAGGGTAGTTTGGTAGTATGTTCTAGATAGTATGTATGTATACTGGTTAGGGATGGATTCGGGCCGGGTCGGGCCTGGGCCGGGCCTAGGCCCGGTCGGGCCGCCGGTTCGTATCACATGGGCTCGGGACCGGCCCGAGGGTTGAACGGGTCCGGTTCGGGCCGGGCCACCCGCCCGGGTCACGGGTCGGGCCACCTGCCGGGCCGGGCCGGTTAAATATTTTTTTTTTAATTTATATTTTATACTTTATAGTTTTATACAAGTATTAAAAAACAAACTTCAAGTGCATTTATTTCAAATGAAATAGGAACTACATTTGAAAATTAAATAGGAACTATAATTGTTTTTAATCGGAATCTCCGGCATAGGTAGAGCCACCCTCTGTTGTAGATTCATCCATAAAGTGTTGGGATGGAGTGATGTCAATTTCTTGAGCTCTACGTGCTGCTTTCAACCAATCGTGGTAGCATATAAGCATCTCAAGAGATTCAGCGCTCAACCTCGTTCTGGTTTGTGTTAGAACATTGCCGGCCGAACTAAATTCTTGTTCCACGGCAACCGTTGAAACCGGCATTGATAGCACTTGCTTAGCCATCTTTGCTAAAACCGGGAACATTCTTTCTTTTCCCTTCCACCAGTTTAGTACGTCAAAATCATCATCTTCTTCAAAATCAACATCATAAGTTAAATACAAAGAAATCTCATTAATTGTGCTTTGTTGTGTAGCGGGAGTTGATTTTGTTTTTTTAATAAGATTGGCAAACGTAGTTTTGAAAATTGATTTTCCTTTAGATGATGTTTGTGTCGGGGGAGGGGGCGCATTGCCATATTGTGCATGAAACTCATTGAATAATGCATAAAATATATCACTAACCTCGTTGTATTCTTTTTTCGGATCAATTGGGTTGTCCTCATACATTGGCAATGGACCAAAAAAAGCAGCATAATAATAATTCAAACATTCTTCTAAAGAACCAAGTCTAAAACGAGGATCGAGAACAAATGCAATACCATAAATATGCGGAATATGTGAATAATATTTTAAAAACTTTTCCTTCATAAAACCAGCAAAATAACTCACATAATCAGCATTCTCAAAATTTGAAAAAGCACCGGCGAGATTAACAGCTTCACGAATAAATAGGTTTGAGGTAGGTTTATAAACATGACTAAAAGTTTCAGTTGCATTATTAAAATATATCAAAGCATTACAAATTTTTTCACAGGTGTCGATCTCAGCCGAGTTTATAATATAGTTATCATATTGTT